ACGAAAAACTGTTAGACGTCGTTTGATTCGAACTGGATTGGTGACTAGAAGAGCTGCCAAGAAACCCCTAATGGTCGCCAGGCACCGAAAACTCAGGTTGCAGTTTGCGAAAAAGTACGCAAGTTGGACCGCCAACGATTGGGCAAATGTTATTTTCACTGATGAGTCAAAAAGTCAATTTTTTTTTCAACCGGATGGGAACCATTTGGCTCGGAGACCTGTGGGACAACGATTCAGCTCTAAATACTTGCGTCCGACGGTGAAATTTGGTGGCAAAGCGGTCATGGTATGGGGTAAGAAACTTTCTCTTGTGGTGTATATTAATCTTGTTTTTTAGGAGCTATGGCAAGAAGTTCACCGGGTCCATTGGTCCTTCTCAACTCGACTTTTGATGCTCAGCGCTACAAGACGATCCTGGAGAACAAATTTCTTCCTTTGCGACCGCCAAAATGGGGACAAGGATGGCTCCTCTACCAGGATAATGCTCCCTGCCACAAGAGTCAGTTGCTTATGGGCCGCACTGTTCGACTTGCCAATGGAGGAAGAGCTCGACTACCCGAATGGTTCCGCGCGAATCGTGTTAAACTCGTTTCAGCTTCTCCATAAAGCCCCGATTTGAATATTATTGAACACAGCGTTTATCAAGACTTATTTATTATAAATTTATTCTATTTATAAGAATGAATTAGACAAAAAAAGAATCACAATTGAATATTAAGCAAAAAGGAGGAAATTAACTTGTCACCTTTCCATCATCATTGAGGAGAACAACATAACCGAGCCACTTGAGCCAGTTCATTAGTCGCGCTTCTTGTGGTCCTGTCTTGTTTCGAGCAAATTCAGATTCTAGCTTGCTGTGAACTGCCTCAATGCCCTCGTCGGATGCATTTCCGATGAGTTTATGCCAATGGACAAATGGGCCAAGATGTAAGAGTAGAGCATGGGCCAGTATACTTTGTTCAAAACCACCAACTTTTTCTAGTTCATTGCAAAGAATCGCTGTTTGGCAGCAATTTGTGGCTTTTGAATCTTTGCCTTTGCACGCCAAATCTTTTGTTTCTTTATCCGAAAGAACACTTTTAGTGGTTGAAACCATTTGAGACCATTTGTTGAAGCAGAAATTATGATTTGATAGGAAGAGAAAAGCCATATATCCGGGTTGCACCAGTCTCAAAATCTTTCCAAATCTCCTTTTCCTTCGGCGAGTCATAGGAATCTGAACCTTCCCAAGCTTGTAATGGAAGACAATTGCGAGACGAGCACGGGTTTTCGCAGATTAGGAATGAAATAGTTGAAATAACTCGGCCGTGTCCTTTATCGAGGGAAAAAAAATCAGCCGTTTTCCTCGCTCATCCAGCAGATCCAATCTTCTTCGCCGCTCTTCAACAGCTTTCAACCTAACACTTCATGGTTCGATGAAGTATGAAATTTCAAAAAATCAAAGTCGCCGCCTTTAATTCTGAAATTTTAGATGATAGTTTTTGGATTATTTTATTTTTTCCGGTCATTTTTGGGCCTAACTTAAAATTTGTAGTGTTCGAATTTTTGTTTTAAAGACGATTATTTTTGTTACCTATGTGCGGCCTCCTTGCGGATTCAACTCGGTGCAGCCGTGACTGAGTGATACAGCGTTCGTTTCCAGAGCGAGACCTCACAAATCTTTTGTTTCTTTATCCGAAAGAACACTTTTAGTGGTTGAAACCATTTGAGACCATTTGTTGAAGCAGAAATTATGATTTGATAGGAAGAGAAAAGCCATATATCCGGGTTGCACCAAAGTCTCAAAATCTTTCCAAATCTCCTTTTCCTTCGGACGCTTCATGGATGCAAACCAGCGCCATTATCGGATTTATCGTACAATGTTGAACAGCTATATTGCGTCACAACAGTTTTGATATCATTCTCAAAGATATCAAGAACTTTTAGCTTTCAGGAAACCCATAAAGATCTCCTTAGCACTTTTGATATCATTCTCAAAGACATCAAGAACTTTTAGCTTTCAGGAAACCCATAAAGATCTCTTTAACAGTTAAAAATGTGCAAATATGAGTATGAAAATGAGTGCGTGGTGAAAAGATGTTTTTTTTAAGTCAGAAAAGTTTTGGCATTTCCCTAGATAACACAAAAGTATCAAACATAAGATACCTTCAAATTGGTCATACTTTAATGAGCATAGCTTAGGAAATCTGTGCTTTATTCGGTGCTAACGAAAGAAAGGCAATAAAAGCAATGGTGATGATTGTGTAGAAGGAAATCTTTTGATTCGCCGAGTTACATTTGTCCCCTTTGCAGCAATACATCGTTTCCTTGCCATCCGCTCCAGTGCTTCTTTCCGTTTTGCCTTTTTTCTAAACAAATCTTTATTGAATAATTTGTGCAGAAAATTATAACAATTGATTTAGGTTTAGAATTTTTTTGCATAAGTCTTCACTCTTTTCAATGCGGAGATAGAAATATTAGGTACACTACTGGACAATTAAATATCATATTTGAAAAAAGATCGTCACTTTCGCGCGTCTGTAACTCCCTTGTCTTTACCGTATTTTTAAATATTAGTATTACCATTGTGTAGCCCTTGAAAAGAGCTTTCAGAAAATGTATAACATTAATAGTTTAAACTAAAAAGACAAGGAAGTTATAGACGTGCGAACGGGACGATCTTTTTTCAAATATAATATTTCATTGTCCAGTACTGTACATGCATAAGAAATGGGGATAAACTTTGAAAACTTGTATCTTATCATATTTTCAACATTTTTAGCTAATTCTTTTTCCATTTTTTAGCCATATTTAACTAGTTTCTATTGCTTTTCAATTGTTATTTTTTGCTTTAATACTTTTTAGATTAGAGCTACGTTTGTAGCGGTTGGTGGGCTAATGGTGCTTCATATCCATTAAAGATGGAGGGCCTCAAGTATCGCGTCTGTGTATACTCTACGACTTCAAGTAAGGAAAGAACGCTGTTGAATGTCATAAAACGCTTGCTTCTGTCTTTGAATCAGACATTATATTTGAAAATGAGTGTGGCTGATGGTTTAAAAAATTTCGCAATGGTAACGAGGATCTAAATGACGAAGAATATGGTTGACTCCATTGATGACGACGATTTGCGTTAAAAAATTGAAGAAGATCTACATTTTATTGATCATTAGCTTTGAAAACTTGTATTTCTCTAAATTTTGCCCCTTATCTCTCTAAATTTGGTTTCTTATCTCTCTAAATTTGGTTCCTTATCTCTCTAAATTTGGTCCCTTCCCTCTCTAAATTTGACTCCTGATCTCTCAGATTTGGTCCCCTCCCTCTCCAAATTTGTTTCCTTCTCTCTACAAATTTGGTTCCTTATCTCTACAAATTTGGCTCCTTATTTCTCTAAATTTGGCTCCTTATCTCTCTAAATTTGGTCCCTTCCCTCTCTAAATTTAGCTCCTGATCTCTCAGATTTGGTCCCCTCCCTCTCTAAATTTGTTTCCTTCTCTCTCTCTACATTTTATTGATCATTAGCTTGTAAAATCATACAATTAAAGTTATAAATAATAAGTGGATTAAAGTTTTAAATCAATTTTAAAATATTTTAGAACTTTTTAATTAAAATCCGCATGCATGGGCCTAATAAAAACTGCTTAAAAAAGAAGAATTTCGTTTAAATTAACTCAGATACTTTGAAGTTATAAAAAGAAGAGTTTAACTTTATAATAAACCTTATAATAAACCTTATAATAACCTTTATAATAAACTTTATAATAAACTTTATAATAAACTTTATAATATAATAAAGCTTTTAAAACAAAACTTACTGTGCATGTAGCACCAAATTCAGTAGCAATATCGTTTACTCCACCACCACAACCACAACCCCATGTCGCGTATCCAACCGAATTCTACAATAAACATTTATAGAAATAAGAAATTACATAAAAATTTAGACTTATAGAACAATTAAAAATAAATTCTAGACTTAAAGAATTTAGCGAAAACTCACCGCCAAAACGAGAACCCCTTTCGCGCAGTATTTACAATCGCCCGAGCACTCAATGCTGCTCCTCTAAAATAGCATTCTTGTTAATAAAACACTTTTATATAGAAAATCATATATAGAAAGTTTTTAACACACATTTTCTGGTGGCGAGACTCCATTCGTTGATCCAATCCAACAAGTAACCGCCTGGGAGACACCAAGAAAAACAATGAAAAGAAGAAGAGCTCGCATTTTTGCTCTCAAAAAATTTGCACAAATAGAAATAGAAATTTAAAAAATTAAAGGCAATAAGTCAAAATTTTTTCAAATATTTCAAAAAATGCTTTTTCTGCCCTTCTTTAAACGCTATCATTTGTAAGCAAGATGACTGAGACAGTCTGAGCCGCGAATCGGTTCGCTATGAGTCATTGAAGATGAGTATTTTGAATTGAATACTTTGAATTGAATATTTTGAATTGAATATTTTGACTTCACTATGAGTCATTGAATCATTTCCTTCAAAAAAAATCCTTTTTTACCTTTTTTAAATTATTCTAAAAGGATAATTTTAAAAAATAAGGTGAAAATCAGTGTTTGTATCTAAGAAAAGAATATTTGTTAAAGTCAATTTTGTATAAAGCATTTCGGATAAGATAACTAAAACAATTATGAATTTTGCAAAGTAGAAAGTTATAAAAAACTACGGTTAAACTCGAGAATGTTTTGTCAAAGTTTACTTCTTCTCTGGCTGTCTCAACGGCTCTCCGGCTTCTTCGGATACTATAATAGAATTCTTGATATCATCGAATCGATTTAAAAGCTCTCAACAAAATGATTGTGAAAGTAGAAGTGATTAACAACTGCTCGAATTCGATTTATCTGAAATGTGACCGACAACGTGATGGATCGGACAGTGACGATTGGTGGAGACTCGAGAGTGAAGTGGAATAAAAGTTATCCACTTTTTAGATTGGCTTCAACGTTCAAATAATTACGCGAGCTTATCCGATTCCTATCAGCCGTTCGTTTGCACGAGTGCCGATTAATGGTTGATGAATGGGATGGTGAGTTGTTGCTGTTGTTGTTGTTGCTGTCGTTGTTGCTGTTGCTGTTGTTGCTGTTGCTGTTGTTGCTGTTGCTGTTGTTGCTGTTGCTGCTGTTGCTGTTGCTGCTGTTGCTGCTGTTGCTGTTGCTGCTGTTGCTGCTGTTGCTGTTGCTGCTGTTGCTGCTGTTGCTGTTGCTGCTGTTGCTGTTGCTGTTGCTGCTGTTGTTGTTGTTGTTGCTGTTGCTGCTGTTGTTGTTGTTGTTGCTGTTGTTGTTGTTGTTGTTGCTGCTGCTGTTGCTGCTGTTGCTGTTGCTGTTGCTGCTGCTGCTGTTGTTGCTGTTGTTGTTGCTGCTGCTGGCAATTTTATAAGAACAACCAAGAAAAATTCTCTTAGCGTTAAAAAGAGTGAGGAATTTGAAAGTAATCCTCAAAATTTCACTCAAATTATTTGCTACAAAGTTTCCAGAAGAATAGATCAACTTCTAGATCAACCAGACATTTCGCTAAACTCAAGCTAGACTTGAAAAAAGAAGAAAGAGAAAATTTGAATCAATTACTATTTTTAAAATTGTTTGAAACGTGAAGCCCGGGGAATTGTTCTGTGAATTGTAGTTTTTTTTTTGAATAATTAAATATAAATAATTGTAAATAATAATAATTTTTAAATAAACATTTGAGATATTCGAAAATCTCACTGAAAAAAGAAATGTTTTTGAAAATTTGGCTTTGAAGCTCAAAGCACAATTTGATAAGGAGCCGCTTTTATCGAATTGAATCAAAAGAATTGAAAACAATCAGTTAATTTCCAATTTCAATGGCTCTTATTTTACTAAAACCATTGTTTGACCGGATTTTGGATTAAAACTGTGTACTTTTTATGATTAAAAACGTAAGCACACTATTTCTGGCTTATTTCTGGCTTATTTCTGGCCTATTTTCATTTTCGTATGTTAGAGGTTGTGGATTTACTTCTCGAATGTTCTCGAAAGGTTCTCGAATGCCAGAGACAAGGCTCGCTTACTCTTGTTGTATAGTAGTGATGACTGAATGATTTTGCACGGATGAGAATTCGTGATTCGTGCAATGCTGGAAGGCAGCGCTCATTTGATGGAAAGAAAGAGAAGAACGGGAGGGTGGAGTAGCCGGTGTGGTCATGCATAAAGTAGCCGGGGAAATGGGCAGGGAATGTTAGCGAGTTGTAAAGGGTAGAAAGAGCTAGCGACAACTCTTTTCGGAGAGATTGCTGAAGAGGAGATCTTCTCACACATCTCCCCTTCATTCCCTTCATTCCCTTCATCCCACTTTTCCCCTTTCTCGAAACATTCAATTAGCTTCATCCTGCCGCCAATCATTAATGCGCACTTTTCGATGAAAGTGATTCGATTCGTGCAAGCTTTTTGTAAATCTTGATCCGACTTCTCTGTTTCTTGTTGATGTTGATGTTGATGTTGATGTTGATGTTGATGTTCTTGTTCTTACTGTTCTTGTTCTTGTTCTTGTACTTGTTCTTGTTCTTGTTCTTGTACTTGCTCTTGTTCATGTTCTTGTACTTGTACTTGTTCTTGTTCTTATTCTTGTTCTTGTTCTTGTACTTGTACTTGTACTTGTTCTTGTACTTGTTCTTGTACTTGCTCTTGTTCATGTTCTTGTTCTTGTACTTGTACTTGTACTTGTTCTTGTACTTGTTCTTGTTCATGTTCTTGTACTTGTTCTTGTTCATGTTCTTGTTCATGTTCATTTCCTTGTTCTTGTTCTTGTTCTTGTTCATATTCATGTTCATGTTCATGTTCTTGTTCATGTTCATTTTCTTGTTCTTGTTTCAAAATCACCCTTGTTTTATTCAAAAGTCAGTCTTGAGCTCTCAAAATTGTCCAAATTTGACAAAATATCAAGATCTTTCCGTTTCTTTACTGCTTACTAAATTCAAAATTACTGTTTCAAGATTTCTAGAGCTAAAGAATCTATTCCAGAAACAGAATAAAATACTTTATTAGAGCAGAATTTATTGACTTCATTTAAAAAAAAACATTGAACTTCGTTGTCCTAAATATTACTATCAATATTTCTCGTCGATCAATCAATATTCTTCTTTTCTAATCGGGTCTGACTCATTTCCCGGGCATATCAACTTGCCTTTTTTCCAAAAGGAAGAAAAGAAAACACGAGAAGCCGTTTTTTTGGCGTTTTTTTGTCGACATCTTCCTTCCACAAATCTCTGATTTATCCGATTTTAAATCTAAATTTTAAACCAAGTTACTTACACTTAAAAATCAAAATCTTTTCATGAAAGAAATCAGCTTTACAAATATAGTTCAAATAATTCCGATTTCACACGCAATTTCATAGACGAATTTCACCAAATCTACCAGTTATCCACGATATCGACTAGTTGATCGCGATCTTTTCTTTCATTTCTTTCATTTCATTCATTTCAATTGCTTTTTAATTGCTTTTTAATTGCTTTTTAATTGCTTTTACTTTCATTTACTCTCATTTACTTTCATTTACTCTCATTTACTTTCATTTACTTTCATTTACTTTCATTTACTTTCATTTACTTTCATTTACTTAAAAATCAAAATCTTTTCAAGAAAGAAATCAGCTTTACAAATAGTTCAAATAATTCCTATTTCACACGCGATTTCATAGACGAATTTTCCTCAATTGTGAAAAAGTGGAGTGTGTAAGTGTGTGAGTGTTGTTGTTGTTGTTGATAGAATCAATTATCCTTTTCTTTTCAATAGTTACTCTCTATGTAGGGTTAAAGCTTAGTTTTTCAATTTGAATTCAATTTTTCTCTGAAAAAAAAACTCTAATAGTCAAATAGTTTGTTTCTTTTCTTGAAAGCTATTCAATGTTTTGTTTGAAGGAATTTCTCGGAAAGTGGTGTTGTTTAGTGTGAGTCTAGTCGACTCACATCCTCAATCATTCCAATTTTTCCCCTATCCAGTTCTCTTTTGCACTCAATTCCCCAAATCTACCAGTTATCCACGATATCGACTAGTTGATCGCGATCTTTTCTTTCATTTCATTCATTTTCTTCATTTTATTCATTTTATTCATTTCATTCATTTTATTCATTTCAATTGCTTTTTAATTGGGTTTTAATTGATTTTACTTTCATTTACTTTCATTTTCTTTATCTTTAATAAAATTTCACTTTCTTATTAACAAAAGTATTCAAATTTCTTTTTAAAATCATTTTTTGAATGAGATTTTAGAAAGGCGAAAAAATAAAAGCAGAAAATGAATCACAATCATTCCGGACCACCACTTATGGTGAATCGAGGATTTTTCGAAGAGCGACGAAATGTACTTCGATTGTGTCAAATTGTAAGTGAAAATAAAGTATTTTAAGACTCTTTTCCTCAATATCAAATCGAATAACCTTTTGAAAAAGTCATGAAACAAATCGAATCAAGAAAGTCTAGGATTTGGCTTATCTGGTTCTGATCCAACGTTGACTTGATGTTGACGTTGATTTTAGACTTGCTTTACTTTACTTGACTTTAAACTTGCCTTACTTTAGGATCATCAGGTTGATCAGGTCAAGCTTTCTAGCCTCCACAGATCACTCCTCAACGAGGAGCTCTGATTGAAGTCTTGAAGCTATACCACTAGCTCTGATTAAAGTCGAGTGGTTTAGGCTAAGTCAAAACTCTGGAATTTCTGGTTTAGTCCCTAGGCTGGATATTGCCCTAACCTTAAACAGCTCTGGCTGGATCTTGGCCTAACCTTAAACAGCTCTGGCTGGATCTTAGCCTAACCCTAAACAGCTCTGGCTGGATCTTGGCCTAACCTTAAACAGCTCTGGCTGGATCTTAGCCTAATCCTAAACAGCTCTGGCTGGATCTTGGCCTAACCCTAAACAGCTCTTGCGTCTTGATTCTTGAACAGACTCTTGATCTCTTACCACATTCCTCTATTTGATTTGCATGCCTCAAATTCCAGATTGTTGGGATCTTCTGTGCTCTCTCGAATGCCTACTGTTTCCCGAACGATCTTTTCCACGAATGCACCAGCTATTTTCATTCGTTTTCTCAAATCTTTTCGGTAAATTACTTAATAGAAATTGAAAGAAAAAGAAAAATTAGATCGTTTGCGTGAACGTTTTCTTTTGTGTGCTCACGGTGGTGATGGTTATTTTCGACTTTTTCGGCGTTACACAAGCGTATTATAAGTATAACTTTCATCTGATGGTTGGTGATTGAAAGAGTAATAGAAAGATAAGCTTAAAATCCAGCAATAGTAGTATTAGATTCAATTTCGAAAGCCTCAACTGAGGCGGTTTTGTTATTTTTAAAGGATTTTTTGTTTTAAGCAGACAAAAATAGTTTAAAGAAAGGATTTCAAGGAGATAAACAAAGCTTGAGATTGACTTGAAGCTTGACTTGAAGCTTGACTTGAGAGCTTGACTTGAGAGCTTGACTTGAGAGCTTGGCTTGAGAGCTTGACTTGAGAGCTTGACTTGAGAGCTTGGCTTGAGAGCTTGGCTTGAGAGCTTGGCTTGAGAGCTTGGCTTGAGAGCTTGACTTGAAGCTTGACTTGAGAGCTTGGCTTGAGAGCTTGGCTTGAAGCTTGACTTGAAGCTTTGAAAGTTCAAAAGAATCAAAAGCCAATCAAAAGCCAATCTGAAGCCAAAAAGCCAATCAGATCCTATTTTTATGAAACGATTCTAATTCTATAATCATTATCAAAAGCAACTTATTCTTTTCTTTAAAGGAGCGTCTTTTCTCTACTCTAGCCACTCTTTGCTATGGCTTATCGCTGATTTTTCTCATCGTTGCTCTATTCCAATCAACTTTTGTGGCTCAATGGTTGTTTACAACGGTTTGTTTTATTGTTAAAACTGTAAAATTACCGTAAAATCTTTACGATAATGTTAATAAACTTTTAGATTTTATAAAAAAGATTTTAAAAAGCATTTTGCTAACAAGCATTCGTTCTGCTGACTTACTCCGAAGAATTCTAGTTGAATTTTCTTCTGGAAAGCTCTGGAAAGCTCTGGAAAGCTTCTGGAAAGCTTCTGGAAAGCTCTGGAAAGCTTCTGGAAAGCTCTGGAAAGCTTCTGGAAAGCTCTGGAAAGCTCTGCAGCTCAGGAAAGCTTCTGGAAAGCTCTGCAGCTCTGGAAAGCTTCTGGAAAGCTCTGCAGCTCTGGAAAGCTTCTGGAAAGCTAAAATTAGCCAAACTTTAGTCAAGTTCTCTTATGAATCTGTCAAATGAATGAAGAGAATCAAACAAAGAGAGCAGAGAGAGAACAAAATCGTTTTCTTTGACTGACTTTTGGGCACAAACTTTCCAGATCTAGACGTAGCCTAATTTACGGCTCTAGGAAGAGGCTAAACAAGAATTCTAGTTTAATTTTCTTCTTGAAAGCTAAGATTAGCAAAACTTTAGTCAAATTCTCTTATGAATCTGTCAAATGAATGAAGATTTCTTATAAATTCTCAAAATTTTTAGAGCGGAACTTTATTGAACACATTTCTCTACGCATGGGATGCAAGTGAGCGCTTTAGAAACGATCCAACACGAGGATATTGATCAAATCTTTTGATTCTTTTAATTCTTTTGATTCTTTTAATTCTTTTGATTCTTTTGATTCTTTTAATTCTTTTAATTCTTTTGATTCTTTTGATTCTTTCTTTTGAATTTATTTCATTGTGCCATTGATTTTGATAATTTGAACATATCCATTTTACGGGCTTTTTCGGATAAAAATTTAAATTGAATTGTTGAAATTGTTTAAATGATTGAATTATTTCAATTTGTTAGATTTAAACTATTTACTTTTGTGGAAAATACCTTCTCTGAACAGAAAAGATTTCTCAAATTCACTGGATATGGTTAAGAAGTAGAGTGATCAAGCTCAGGCTGATCGGATCGGAACTTTCTTTCGAGGTGACGTCAAGTGGAGATGAGTTGAGAAGAGATGGGAAGAGTTGAGAAGAGATGGGAAGAGATGAGATGAGTGGGTATTGGTGAGTGGTAGAGTGAGTGAGATGTTGAGTTGAGAGAGTGGGAAGATTGAGAAGAGATGGGAGAGTGAGATGAGATGGGAGAGTGATTGATTGAGAGAGTGGGATGATTGAGTGTTAGATGAGTTAGTGTTGAGAGAGTGGGAAGAGTTGGAGAGATGGGAGGTGAGTGGTGGGAGGTGGT